CTCTGTTTTAGTGAAATATATCGCTATTCCAATGAAACTTATCCCTGTTCCAGGTGAAAATTTTTTCCCATATATCATTGTTATTATTATTTATATTATAAATAATAATTATTAGATTTTTTTGGAATAGAGATAATATTTTTTTTTTTAAATATTTATTCGTTCCTCTTGAATTAAAATTAAATAAGTTGTAAAAAATTTATCAAAAGATGAATTTCAAGAAACTCATTATATCGCATAGAGGTCATATGTGAGTGAAAATAGTTCTTTTTTTTAAATTACATTACATTTTCAATGAATCAATTTCGACATGTGACTCTTAATCTTTTGCTAAGAAAAAAAAAAAAAAATAAGTAAAAACTATTTTCGCAATCTGATTGATAGACATTGGATGTTTAGAAAGTATATGGCAAAAAAAAAAGACTTCCCCGCGTTGGCCGGAGGCACAAACAAACAAGTTCCGTTATTAATTGATTTATAAGGCTCCAATCTGGCGTACAAACTGACCGATAATCATTAATTATCGCGCTAATTACTCGAGCGTCGGAGAGACTAGGAAAACTAAATACACATATTTCATTCTACAAACCATTAGATTTTTTTCTGTTTTTTTTTGTATTGGCAAAAAAAAGATGAAAAGAAAAAATTTGTAATAAGTTTTATGTACTTTTTACCCTTTAATGTTCGGTTATAGTTTATAATAAATTTTGTTATACACCGGGTGTACAAAAACTACCGCAATTAAAAATTAGTTATTAATTTTATTTTTTTTATTTTATTATTTTAATTTATTTTTATTTTATTTATTTTTATTTATTTACTTTATTTTTTATTTTATATTATTTGATTTTATTTTATTTATTTTATATTTTTTATATTTTATTATTTTAATTTATTTATTTTTATTTTATTTATTTACTTTATTTTTTATTTTATATTATTTGATTTTAATTTATTTATTTTATATTTTTTATATTTTATTATTTTAATTTTTCTTTTCTTTCTTTTTTTATTTTTACTTTTTTTTTAATATTTATCAAAAATATTGAAATTTGTTATTACGTGTTGAAGTTATTTAAAAAAAAGTGACTTTTGAACTTTTCGACTAAAAAAAAGTTCAGATTCGACAGATGGGAAAACGGTTCTATAAAAGACACAAACCATCTGGCTCTACTGTTGTAGATGTCGATGGTGTTCAAGAAAGAGGAACGATCTAATAAAAGTAGAAAAAAACAAGAAAACCGACACAAAAGCAATTTCGCGTTTCATCCAAAGATTCTTATATAGTTTTTTTTCATACATATACAACTCGAGTCACATTCATGCATATTAAAAGATCAACGCTCTTAATTATAAAACCATATTTTTCTTTTATTTGCCAGAGGAAATTAAAATTCTTATCAGACAATAATTTTTTATTCGTATGCAATTAATTAAAAAATAGTCCTCTGGATTTTTTTTCTAAAATATTTTCCAATTAAATATTTCTAGAATATTCCAACGAAATATTTATGTATTAATATTTTAATATTTATTATTTAATATTAATTTATAATAATTAATTTTAATATTGTAATATTCATGCTATTAATTAAATATTCTACCAGTATTTTTTTTAAAAATATTTCTACTTTATGTAATTAATTAATTAAATATTCCACCAATTTTTTTTTCTAAAATATTCCAATGACATATTACCACAATAATATTTTAATATTAATTAATTTTTATATTTTATCGAACAATTAAATAAATATTCCACTGGATTTTTTTTTTAAATTATTCCCAGGAAATATTTCTACAATAATATTTTAATATTCGTGCAAATTAATTAATTAATTGAATATTACACCGGTTTTTTTTAAATATTCCAATGAAATATTTTTAAAATATTCCAACGAAATATTTCTGCATTAATATTTTACTATTTATTATTTAATATTAATTAATTTTAATATTTAAATATTCCTGCAAACTAAAAAATATTCCACCGGATTTTTTTCTAAGATATTCAAATTAAATATTTCTACAATATACCAATGAAGTATTACTACAATATTCCAACGAAATATTTCTGCATTAATATTTTAATATTTATTATTTAATAATAATAATTAATTTTAATATTGTTTATATTCATGCTATTTATTAAATATTCCACCAATTTTTTTTTTTTTAAATATTCCAATGACATATTACCACAATAATATTTTAATATTAATTAATTTCTATATTTTATCGAACAATTAAATAAATATTCCACTGGATTTTTTTTTAAATTATTCCCACGTAATATTTCTACAATAATATTTTAATATTCGTGCAAATTAATTAATTAATTGAATATTACACCGGTTTTTTTTTAAAATATTCCAAACGAAATATTTCTGCATTAATATTTTACTATTTATTATTTAATATTAATTAATTTTAATATTTAAATATTCCTGCAATTAAAAAATATTCCATTGAATTTTTATTTCATAAAATATTCCAATTAAATATTTCTACAATATTCCAATGAAGTATTACTACAATATTCCAATGAAATATTATTCTATAATAATATTATAATATAATTTATTAAATATTAATTACTTTTACTATTTTAATATTCTAAAAATTTGAATGCATTTTCTTTCTTATATGGTAAATTTTTTTTTTTTTAGAATAAATAAAATTATATTTTCTTTGAATTCAAAGATAAAAGCAGCAATTTTATATTGCCGTTTGTCAGAAGTTCTTGTCACAACGATGTATGTAATATATATTATGAGAGATATATAGATATATATTTATGTAGAAGGGATGAAGGGGAGTTGAGGCACTTAAGCTACTAAATCCGCCATATTTCCCACTAGTCTTTATTTATTACATGTTTTCCTTACAAGGTTCAACTTTCATCGCGATACGTTTTTTTTTTCTCTCTTTCTTTTGACTCGTGCCCCCCCCCCTCTTATATATACTTATATAAATTTTGAATTATGATTTCAACATAAATTCTTGAATATGTCAATTATGAAATGTATATGGGTATAAGTGCGCACGTTTATATGTAGAAGTTAGGTTATAATGAAATGAAAAAAAAAGAAATCTCTTACAAACTGCAAAAGAAAATTGATTATGTCGAGAGGTCCATCTCTACATTTGTGTTTCAATGCCTCCAGACAAATGGTCGTTATCGCATACAAGCACTCTGTGAGCATCTTTTGTTATGGGATGAAACTCTTTTGGAATGGAATCTATTTAAAAGGATTTTCATTCGCAGAATTACAAGAAAGAACATTCTTTCTTTTTTCTTTTTTTTTACAACTCCTTCATTAACTATGATTATTTTATTTCACATCAATTATATTTATGTAATTAATTTACGATTATATAATAATAACGAGATCGCGGGAAATTGTGTTAAAATATAGTTGCAATAGTTTTTATTATTCAATAATTATTATTTATTACAGTAAATGGATTTTAATTAATTTTAATATAGAAAATTGTGTTGAAATTAAATCAAGTTTGCAAAAGTTTTTATTTTTCAAAAATTATTGTAAAAAATGGATATTAATTACTTATAATTAATTAATTTTAATACAGGAAATTGTGTTGAAATTAAATCAAGTTGCAAAAGTTTTTATTTTTTTAATATTATTATTTATTACAATAAATGAATTTTAATTAATTGATTTTTGACTTTAAACATTTTTATTATTCATTTTAATTTCTACATTTGAAAATTTTGAAAAAAATTAATATTTAAGATATTATTTATCAAAATTTATTTACGTTAATCATTTATAATTATATAATAATAATAATAATAATAATAATAATAATAATATCAAAGGAAATTGTGTCAAAATTAAAAAAAGTTGCAATAGTTTTTATTTATTTTTTTATTAATAATTACAATAAATGGATTTTAATTAATTAAATTTAATACAAAAAATTGTGTTAAAATTAAAATAAGTTTCTATTTTTATTAAATATTATTAATAATTACAATAAATAAATTTTAATTAATTGATCAATAAATCTTATAGATGAAAAATATTGAAAAATTACTTTAAACATTTTTATTATTTTTGTTTTCATTTCTAGAAAATTTTTGAAAAAAAAAAAATAATAATATTTCAATATATTATTTCGCAACAAAATTATTTTAGTTAATCATTAATAGTTTTTATTTTAAAAATATTATTTATTTAATTATTATTACCATAAAATAGATAATTAATTAATTTTAATTTATTATTTTTAACAGAAAATTGTATATTAAATAAAAATAAGTTGCAATAGATTAATTTTTTTTTAAATTATTATTACAATAAATAAATTTTAATTAATTAATTTTACCACCGTAAATTTTGTATTAAATTAAAATAAGTTGTAATAGTTTTTATTTTTTAATCATTATTGTTTACTACAACAAATGAATTTTAATTAATTAATCAATAAATTTCATAGATTAAAATGTTTTTTGAAAAATTAATGTAATTTGTATTACATATGTTGATTTATTATTATTATTATTTATTATTATATTTCTAAAATTTTAAATTTCGAAAATAATTTACTTCATTTATTATTTTGTTTGTTTTTTTTTTTATTTTAATTTGCCGTATTTGTTAAATAAAACACTTTTTTTCAAAATAATATAATTTTATTCTTATATTCAAATTTTCAAATTAAACTACAGAAAACTCGCGCCAAATATCAGGGATTTTGAAAAAAAACCCGATATTTTATAATTCATTTTTCTACGTCAAATTCCATTTATTGAGTATATAAAAAAATTTAATTTCACAAATTTCATTTTCCATGAACAATAATCTGATATTCATATATTTTTCTGTTATAATAAAAAAAAGAAAGAATGATAATTAACAATATGCAAAATATTTTGTGCGTGCGCATTTATCTAATGCGCAAGCGCGACTAAGTGCAAGAGCCGAGAGTAGTCGAGTTTAATCGAACGGAGTCGAATCGGCGCGTGGCGCCTCCAACAATCCCCAGTCGTGAGTTGACCATCGCGTCAACAGTTGCGTTTTCATCGTATAGTCTCTATTTTCGTTTTCACAGTTCACAACATTTTATTGTGAACACCAAATCAAAACTTGATTTTTTGTTAATAAAGTTACAATTTTCACCTGGAACAAAGTGTCATAATTTCCGCTCAAGTGACAGTTTTTTTTTTCGTATTGAAGTCAACATGTTTTTTTACGAAAATATGCAGTGAATAATAAATATTACTATATCAGTTTACATTGTGTGCCAGGATCATTTATTGTTTTTTTTTTTTTTCGTTTTCAGTGAGAACAGTGTTTTATGGAAAAATAACGTGTCTGAATTTTGGTAAATTGTCAACAATTTCCCGGCAAATTGACGTTCGCTAATTGCCGCAAGATGGCGATTATTTCATGTGTTAAGTTTTTATTTTCAATAAAAACAAAACAATGAGATAACTAATTTTTTTCTCGATATGATCGACAATAATCAGATCGTGAAAGTTTAACCTTCGTGGAGAGTAAATTCGATCGGTTTTTTTTTCGGATACTATTAGTGAGTGATTTTTGTGTGTTTTTTACAACAATTTTAATCATGAGTTTGTGATAATTTTTTTTTTATTATTTGGAGATCAAGTTCCTTTTTTGGATATTATCAGTGAAAAAAAAATGGAGTCCCGACGGATCAACTGTTTTTTGCTGTTCATCGCACTTGTCATCTCCGTTAAAGGTTTGTTTTTTTTTTTTTTAATTATTCGATTGTAATTCCAAGAATAAAGGCGCGAATTTTTTTTGTGATTCGTTACATTTAGGGAGAGTGATGGAAAAAACTTGTTGAGTTTAAATTCATATTTTTTGCTCTCATTTATTTGGTAATATGCGGTTAATAGAATTTTCGAAATCGTTTTTTATTTTACTAAGTATTTTTGTTATTCTGTTAATAGAATTTTTGAAATCATTTTAAAGGTTATATTTTAGTGTTTCAAAGTGTTTTTACTTTTTTTGCTCTGGCAAATATTTTTCCCTTTTTTTTTTTTAATGAAAAAAATTTTTAATTATAAATATTGTGTGAGAAAATGTAGTTTGCATAAATAGTGGATCTGGTCTTATGACTGACATTAGATTTTTGTTTGTTTTCTCTGTCATTTTAATTCTGTTTAGAAAATTATAATGAACGGTGGTTGGTATATAGTATATAATTACGTTAAATACTTAATTATTTGAAAATATCTTCATAAATGGCAATACCGTAAGGGCAGCATTTTTTTAGGTTATATAAAAGTTAGAATAGCTGTTGATTGAATGTTTCTACATCCGAATTTCCTTTTTTTTCTTTTTTGTCCAAATAATGTATATTTAAAAATATAATTGTAGTTTCCGATATGGTAGTACAAAAATGGCACATGGAATAATTTATGATTGCTAGGCAGCCAGTGCTCGGACCGACATAGATGTTACACATAATTTATTATAATCCATATTACGTTCTTAAAAATAACTTTCTGTGTCTCGTCTCTGACGTGAGTAAGTAGTTCCCATATATAGTTTATACTATCTACAATAATTTTTAGCTATAGCTTTATAAACACATTCCATAATAATGTAAATTCTACAATGTATTTAATATTTAAAATAACATATATTAAAGTTATTTATATTTATATACATTGTAAAACGAAAGGTATTAATTTAATACCAACTTTAGGTATGAGCCAAAAGTTTGTTTAAAAAAATTAAAAAATAATAAATAAATTTTAAATAATTAAAATTTGTATAAAAAGAAATTCTGCCAAATGCTAATTCGAGAAATAAAAATTCGTCTGAAAACTAATTATTTCTAGTAAAAATATTTCATTAATTTAAATTATTTGATTAGTTAATTTCTTTAATACTTTTTGTTTTGCTACTTCTTTAAGTACGAATTTTATTACAAAATATTGTTTAAAATATCTAAAAAGAAGTTATTAATTTAATATTAGTTTAATTTACTGTTTTATTTTACATGGTCATCATAATTTTTAATAATTTATAAATTGAAAAAAATATTTCGTTCATATGAATGTTCAGAACTTTCGGCTCATCTTTAGATGCTAAATTGTTATTTGGTTCTATTTTGATACCTAAAATCGGTACTGTTTTAGTACCTTCTTTTTACAGTGTATTTATTTATACTCTCTAAATATGAATTAGTAAAAATGTTTACTACTTTGAATTAATGACTCACTTTTTGCTTCTGAATTAGTAAAATTTTACTAATTCTTAGTAACTTTTATTAACAATTAGTAAAATTTATGAGCCAAAAGTTTTGAACATTCAAATGAACAAAATATTTTTTTCAATCTATAAATTATTAAAAATTATAATGTCAATGTAAAAAATAAAACAGTAAATTAAACTAATATTAAATTAATAACTTCTTTTTAGATATTTAAAATAATATTTTGTAATAAAATTCGTATTTAAAGAAGTTATAAAAAAAATGTTGTTCATTTTGAACGTTCAAAACTTTTGGCTCATTAAAATTTAACTAATTCTAAAGCAAAAAGTGAGTCACTAATTTAAAAAAGAAATCATTTTTACTAATTCAGATTTAGAGAGTGTATTTCGGTTTTGTTTCTGTTTCGAAAAATCGTCCTCTGGATTTTTATTCCTTTTCTTTATCTGTATACTAATTCCGATTCATTTATTTTCATTTCGGTGAGTTTCTTTTTGGGATAGAAAATATATTTGGGAAAATCAATCAACCTGTTATCTTGTTATATATATATATATCCGAGATTGGATAATATTTTTCAAATATCCCATTGATTTGAAGGGATCTGTTAAGATTTTCTTCTTTGTGTGTGTGTGTCAAATCTGATTGGACAGAATTTGATATCGAAGTGAGAGGGCTCTCGGTGAGTAAACTGCTTTTGGTGAAAGATTTCGTTGGTGAACGGGTGCTGGGATCCGCCGGCTGTCAATCCCCCAGAACGAGGGAATCGACACTTCCAATTTAAATATGTAAAATACACCCGTAACTCTCCTTTCTTTTTGTCCGACCGTTTCATCGATTTAACTTCTAAGTATCGTACCTGTGAAACGTTCAATCAAGTCATATATACATCCATCAAATTACTCATTAAGTGCGATTTTGCTCTTAGAATTTCTTTTTAGATATAATTTTTAGTTATAGTAAAGGTTTAGTTTAGTTTCTAGATGCTCCTGCGGCACTTGGTGTGTAGAATTATAGACTTGGTACACGTCGAGTTTTAGTCGGGAACATATACATGAGTCGGCATTAATTAGCAAGTAGTCTAATTAAGTCTTTGACCGTAAAAGGATTGTAGCAGTTGGTGCAGGCACATATCTTATCAGACTTCCTTATTCTCTGTATATGTCCCTTTTATATCTCGAATATATATTATATATAGTTTCAAAGATGAAATGTTTCGAAACCACGTTTTAATAACTTATAATTACTCTGATATATATGCTTTTAAGATATATTTACTTAATTGATTTTGAATAAGAATCTCGATTCTTCATTTAATTCTTGATTATTATTATCTAAGCAAATAAGTTTGCAAAAAAAAAAAAAATGTTCGCGTCGGTGGCTATATGAGAGAATCTTTCTCATGCACGTATACCCATGTCATTGGACGATGTGGTCTCTTGTAAATATTTGTCGTCAAACCAGTATACTTCGTTCTTGTATTTACGCAAGCCGGCGGAGTTATTTAGATTTGAATATCTTGACTGCGAATATTCCAAAGAGGGTCGTGTCTTCCAAAAAAAAAAAAAATCTTTTCCTTCAAGAATATAATTAGTGAAAATTTCTTGAAAAAAATTGTTCTAATTTTTAAATAACGTTTTGGAGATGAAAATTATCATTTTTTGTTTGTTTGTTTTGTGAACGTATTTCTGTTCACTAATGAGTGTATATGTATACTAGGGACTGAGGAAATTAATGACGCGTCCACAATGCACTGTTTGTGCACCACAACATTTTAATCTTTGTCAGTAGGAAACATACACGTGATATTAAAAAGATTGTACAAACTCGCTATTAAGCCCAGAGAGACTAGACACCTTCTCATGACCTTTCAGGAATCTTTTTAATTATATAGCATTTATAAATTTTTTCGACCTGATTTGTTTTTTATTTCTGAAGCAAAAATTTCTTGTAGATGAAAACAAAAACGAATCGTAGTTTAGTCGCCCGTGTATCTTTCGAAAATAAAACACAAAAGTTATTTATTTAAAAACAAGAATAGAAATATTTATTATAAAATTTAATTTGCTCTCGGAGCAAGGTTGTGCTCAGGACGAGAATTAGGTAAAGACTAAATTGAAAAAATGGCGACAGGGTTTTCAAAGCGACGCTTGGGAAAAGAGAAAAACGATAAAATTAAGGAAAATTATTGTAGTTGAACAAGGATGGAAAAGGTGTAAAAAGAGAGGGTAAGGAGTGTACAGAGTACATTGCCGGGCTACTTGAACGGACCGATTTTATGATACATTAACTATTCTGAGCACAACCATATTGTAAATACATAAAATTACAAGTATTAATGAAAATGTTGTATTAATACATATTGTTTGTGTGTGTGTATTTGTGTACATGTTTGTGCATTTTTAGATTAGAGTAATATATAAAATATAATTATAAAGTTTATATTGTCCAAAAATGTGGAAATAAATTTCCAGACGCCACAGATCTTTTCTTTGCAAACTTTTCTTTTGTAATTATTTAGAAAAGCATTTCACATATAAAGTAATTTGACTCTCCATTGTATTAATTACTAAGTGTCAGTTACAAACATAATAGAGATAATTGTCTATACATCAACAATATCGAGCGAGTTTCGAAACAGATGCACAGTATAGATGTTATGAGCGAGCATTATGCATGAAATATATCGAGTATATGGGAACATTTACCTGACATTTAATTAATATAATGTAATTCATATACAATATATATAATATCAACTAGGAAATCTTCCATGCAAACATATGGTGCGTCACGGCGACACAGATGGATACTCGATTCATATATATATGCACGCGTATTTCTCTTGTCATAATATAGGTTCAACTACTCTCGGGCATATGAAGCATCGAGGTCGTCGTCGTCGTCATAAGGCGATAATATACCCGACAGTTTATATGATAGGGAAAAAGTCAAGATTGAATTAGGGTTGGTGATCTGATGATTGTATAAAGGCAAAGCTAGTTTCGCGCGGCACACTTTGAAGGGTGTGTATATGCGCATATGACACCCTGCCCGCTAATCTTTATCGAGATTTTTCCCTCCTTAGATATATATTTCGAACTAGTCATTCATTGCCTATATATATATATATAGTCTAATGTGGAAATCTCCGGTGTAAATGGACATTGAACTACATGCAACACATGGCTTGATATCCATTTACCAACACGGTATATCCCTTGCAAAAGCATTCATTGAAATTTTAGGGCAAAACAAATCACTCTCTATATATATATATACATATATATATTTCCGACAGACATCATCCCAAGGGACAAATTTTTACGGAGATCAAAGAGAAACTTTTGAATTAGTTACAATTCATTATTAATCGTTTACTTATTCATTCATGGAAATAGTAGGTACTCTAACTTTAATTTATGACTGATTCATGGAAAAAAATATTAATGATTTATTACTTGCAAAGTAAGCCCACTTGAAAAGATTCCCGGAAAGTGCTCCCTGGAGGTTCT